TCTTGGTTCGTTTTCGCGGCTCAGTCTCGGACCGTGTTATCGGTTAGTCGCCTTTCGTGGGTGGCTGGTGGATTTATCTGGAAAGATCGTCGTCACATCAAATGAGCAAGCCTTGCGGCGCGCTCGCTTCGCTGATTATTGAAAAGACGCTCCGTTGAAGGGCGCATGCCGAGTCGTTAGCTAAATATGTTCGTGATGATGAATGCTTCAGAAAAACTTAACAAAAGCTCCTAACAACTTTTCTCTGTCGGTCGACGCTCGACGCAAAGACGCTACCGCAGCGTCTTCCAATCGGTGTGATTTCAATCAGCTTTCCGGCTCGTTGTTGTTTGCCTTGAGAATATCTTTCGTCCGATTAAAGAATCTTCGAGCTGCCGACGGTTTCGAGTTTCACTTGTTGTGGGAACTTTCACATTCGGGATATTTTCCAGCTCGCACCAGTTGTGCGCTCGGGGTCGGAGTAGAAGTCCAAGAAAAACTCTGACCTGATTAGTTTCCCGGCCCAAAGGTTTGAAGATGCCGAATTCAATAAGCGATCAGGTGGCTCGGCGGTTCGTCGTTCGCCCGCTCGGTCAATCCAAGCGTCCGCCTGTCCGTCCGTCCAAAGAGTCGAGCGTCCAAACAGGCGGTCACTCAGTACTCGCTCGAGGGTCGCTTGAAAAACTATCTCAAGAGTCCGGGAAAGGAATAAAGCCACCGACAGCCATTAGGAAACGGAATTATCGACGCCAGCGAGAATTCAGTGGAACTTGGGAAGAGGGCTGTCAAGTTCCCTGTGAACGGCTTCTCGCAATCGAGCCAGTCACCTGACGACGATGAGCGAACTGAAACCCAATGGATGGAATCGGAAGGAATTTGCGTAACAAAAGCACCTGCAGCGGTTAGCGCTGCCGTCGTACGAGGTGAAACATGAGTTCGACTACACGTGGGACCCGTTTGGCTTTTGCGATGATTCCGATTGACACTTGACGGCTCGGTCGAACACACTGGCGTCTGGTGACTGTGTGTGAACTCGAACAGACAGACAGAAAGATTTCCGCAAAAGACTGCTCTTGCTGAAGCGGATGTTCAATGCTGAGGCCATTGAAGACGAGCGCGAGCAAGGAACCGAAATATATGACGAACGCGCCCCGAAAGTGAAGGGGATTCGGATGACGGAAAGCCAATTTTCTTTTGCTCATTTGCCTTACTGCGGTCATTCCGTCGCCGACTCGGATCTCCTCGGCTGGAGAAGAAGAAGTTGGATCCGGATCGGCAGACGGAACGGCCATCGGTGTCTGCTGCAAACAGAACGTATTGGATTTGCGCGTGAAGAATCGTTTCCAGCGCGGCGACTGCTCCTCCTACACGGCGGGCGATCAACGCACTGGGCGGTGGACGCGACGGCATATCTCAAGAATCTGATTCTGGAACAGATCGGTCAGAAAAAAATACAGTTAGAAATAAGCAGCGAGTCGAACGAACTCCTACAGACGAGCCGCTGGAACTAGCCCACAATGTACGCGTCGTATTGGTGCTGTCACACTTTAGCACCGTATGCGCACAATCCGAAAGCCGGCCGGCCGGCTTCCCGAGCGAGCGACCGATCGACCAATCCGCTGGATGACTCATTATGAGAGGCTATGACAGTGACCGGACAGAAGAATCGATTCTTCGTTTCTCCTTCTCGATTATTCCGGTCGGATTCGGCGCAAAACCTAAAAGCCCCCGGCACAGTCCGTTCGGATCCCAATTAGGCGGTGACCCGAGCCGGTAGTCGTTGTAGCGCATACTTCCTCCAGGCGTGGTGTTAATGTCGCCAAGCTTCAGACACTCGGACTTGGAAGAACAAACGGACGGACGCACGGATAAACAACGACGTCTACGACGACGGCGATGAGCGTCGCTTGATCCAACCGAATTTAAATGGCGCGCCCCTCACTTGTCGTCATTAAATGGTGGCACCGGCGGCGTCGACGGCGCTGATGATGACTATGGCAAGATGCAACAATGCCTCTAAGTGTTCCGTGGCCGCGGTGATCCACTAAAACCTGAGTAGTGCACCAGTTCGCCGCCGACGGTAGTGACCACCGGCCCAGTGTCGTGAGCGCAGGCAAGCGGACTACACCGACGCTGCTCCGAATTCTAGAATTCTAGATTTTCGTGAATTTTGTGTGTTCCGCCCATCGGATTAGATCGGCTCATCATCGACCGAAACCCGACAAGAGCTGAAATCTGAAATATTTGGAGCTCGACTTCGAACTCCAAATATTTGCTCTGAAGACGCACCTTTAACACCTTCGGAATCCAGCTGGAGTCAAGTTCTATTCCTCCGTGCCCTCCGATCACCCGTGGGACTTAGTGTCGCGGGGCTTTGATAGCTCTCGACTGCGCACCTCAGCAAACTTCGGCGCTGGAGCTCAGTGAACCTCGCAAACTTCTTCGTCTTCGACGACTGTGTGACGACACACACAGGTGACATGGCGCGCCGATCCCGAGAGCATAGTTGACATACCTCCGACCGCTCCCTTGCTCGCCCGATCCGTATCACAGATCGAAACTCAGCCCTCTGCGCGGATATCCCCCGGTCTTGTTCATCTATCAGCCAGGCACTCAGTCAGCCGGTCGATCGGCTCGACGCCGACAGTCGAACGGGCCGGCGGGCGGGCCTGCTGACTCGCTATCGATCGAGCGCTAACTGGATCTCTTTCACTCTGCGGTGAAAAAAGTCGCTCGTATTCGCATTTCGCGCGAGCTCGAAGCCTGAAGACGTCATCATGCCGGGCGAGGATTGGGTGTTCGGCATGGAGCATCTGGGAACAGGAATCGCCCCGGAAAATTTCAACGAAACACCTTTCGTTTTTCACTTTAAGGTAACCACATGTATTATGAAATCTCTGTGCTATCTAGATCGGCGTCCGAGCCGATTTTCGCGGTCGGATCCGTGCGGGAAACAGCTGACGCAAATGTTCGAGGGATCGTGGTTCGTCTGTCCTCAACAAGCGGATAGCTCCGGTGAGCGAATGATCGAGTTGAGCGCAAAAGCTCGAAGAAGAGCCCAAAGCATAACAGAGAGGTGTCCGCGAGATTCGTCCCGATATCGCATCGAGCCGCGGTTTCAATTTCCGGAAGTGCTCCGAGGTACTACGCGCCACCGAACCATTCCGCTATGGAGATGTTCGGTCTCAAGTAGCGAGTCTCGGACATCGGATTTGGAATCAAGTGATCAAGAGCTTCGTGGTCTTCCCCCGGAATATCATGTGACGCTCGCGTGTCGTGGCGTCGTCTGTGTTTGCGTGACCCGGTCGGTGGCTCGCGCAAATTCGCGTGGACAGAGCACTCAGACCAGTTGACAAAGGCTCGGCTTTCGAAATCAACAAAGTTCGCAGGATATCCACTCAGTGAGCAGGAAACGCGAAAGTGAAATCCCGAGCACAGATATTCACCCACCAGTTTCCTCTCAGTTTCACAAGTTTCCGCAGTCGTTCCGATCGTCCCAGAGAAGTTTGCTAGCGAGAGAGCGGGAACTCGGTTTGCTTATCGACAACGCGAACGGCGAGCTCACGGAAAACACAACGCGATCGTCAGAGAAAACCTCAGACAGTGTCACCGACATTGTTGATTCGTTTGAGAATACCGTTTTAGATTTTCGTCTCTTTTCTTGCGCCCCCCCCCCCTCTGTGCGAGCTCCTCGCTAGACGAAAGAAGCTGACACAATGAAAACCGCCGCTCGCTTCTGGGGCTGACCGCTCGCCTCAAACAACGAGGACCCCAAGGACGATCTCGCCGAGTGGGGCGACAGTGAGACATTCTTTATCGTATTTCGCACGATAGATGAATTTCGATGTCGTCGAGACTGGATCGCTCGGTCGTCTGCTCGCTCGTTCGCTCGGTCGTCTGATCTCCTCACCTGAACTGGACCCGGCTCGACTGGTCTACGTGAAAGTTCACCTGACTGCCGTCTAGCTCATGGTCTGCGCTACCGACCGCCCTCTCGACCGGCTGATTGTTCGCTCACTGAGATTTACGGCTCGGCAGAGGCCCTGTGGCACCCCGAACTACCGAAATGAATTTTTGGCGACATGGTTCCCGCTCAAGCCCCAGCTTTTTAAATAGCTACGTATCGTTTAAAGCTATCAACACGCGACGAGTTGAAAGTCGTCACCTATCGACCTGCTCAAAGCCCCTGCAAACCTCCTTGCTTAACAGATACTTCATACACTATTCGGAGCAGATGGAAGCCAATTGCAACAGTGCCGGCTTTCGTTGATTGGGTTGCGAGAATTCCTTCCGGAAGTCGCGGCAAAATAACGCCGGTCGTCATTTTACGCGGCAGCCGCGATCGATAGCTGACGCTCGGAACGGCGTACGGGCTGATCCTGGCGATGATTCCGTGGATGTTTCTGCTCGGATCCCTTGATATTCCTGCGAATTTTCCGGCTTCGGTTTTGTTCCCGTCGTTGACGCATGACAATTTTTTTCCAGCGTCAAAATGAGCCAATCCTTGAATACCAAGTCCCGATGTTTTTCTTTGCGGTCGGAACCGTTCGCCGAGAGAGAGAAAATCACTGAAACCACTCTGATGAAGAACATGACATGACATCGATTTCAGCTTCTTACAGTACCCCCACCCTTCAATGATAATAATTGGAGTTTTTGTTGGAAAATGCTCAAAAGCAGTGAGCGCTCACCGAATCCGACAAGCCTTCCTCGTCTGCGGCTTGGACGGCTTAAGCTCATTTAACGCCTAGTTAGTCGGAGCACCAGTTGCCTCCGCTCGCTTTTACGCATAAAAAAAGACTGTGTTTGCTCCCATGTTATCACTGCACGTATCGCGTCTGTTTACGCTGGCTTGATAATTCTTTTCCGAGGGTTCAAGACCGAGTCGCTTTCTTGGAACTTCCGTTTGAACCGCCATTTTTCCTCGTCTCTCTCCCCGATCGACAAACGTCGCGAGTACTCGACGTCAAACATCGGATCCGATATGATTTCTAACAAGAATTCCTTGTTTCCTTTCCCAGGGTTCCGATCCGCGAGCAGCCACCTGTCGCGGGAAGATGCAGTTCCGAAGATCCAAACTCAACAATGAGATCACGAAGCAGATTCACATTCGTGACGGCGCTGAAAAACTCTACAAGTAAGTCGAATGAACTGACTGATGAGTGTTACATAAACTTTGAGAATGACCGCAACAACAACATCGACCATATCACGCCGCTTAAAACGGGTCGTTGAGCCGAGCGCCGAAGCTCGTACGGACGCTTTGTCCGGACGTGCGGCAAGCGATCCATCAATGTACGTGTTTTACGCTTAGTTTGGGCGTGCTCAAGCGCATTCGTTCTTTCATTCATTTCTGGAAGCGTTTCTGTGAATTTACGTCCGTCATAAACGTCTCACTCAGTCAGCCCACACTCCTTATGCCCTAGTCTGCGGGCACTGTTCCGGCTAGTGAGCGCTTGGTCATTCGCTTTCATTATGCATGGAATGAGTAAAATAAGGACGACGATTACCGAAGCAATCCAGGATTCTCCCTTGGAGTCAGTCGACTTATGCGAATCAGTCTTTTTGCGGATATGTCGCAGAAGCCCAGACAGAAAGAAGATTCGAAAGCTTCGCGTAATAGGAATCGCCGGTCTCGACGGTCCGGGGAAATTCAGAATCTCGAGCTCGACGAAGCTGTGCGTAATTACGCGCCATCAACCCGCCAGGAATTTTGAGCGAGACGTGGAGATCGGCTTACGGCAACGTCGGAAGTCTCCGTCCATCGATGTTTGCTCGAGTAGACCGCGTTAACGGAATCTGTACAGACCACCGCTTCACCGTGGGCAGCCGCGAAGTATGTTCACGACGGAGTGTAGGACGAGTCGGGGTTTTCGTCGGACGCGTTGCTCGGCCTTCAGAAATGAATGAACCTGACGCTAACAGGGGACGCGAAGCTTGAACCGGCAGTGTGCAGAGGAGCGGTGCTGTTAGTTATTTCGTTGCTTTTGCCCGATCGCTCGTCTGATCGTCCGTCGTTCGGAGGCGACCTTTCAGCTGACCAGATGCGTCGGGAGTCGTTATTTTTCCACCATCCGACGTTGCCGTTTCTTTCCCGCAGCGGAGAATGCAGGCGGAGAAAATCTGCCGAAAACCGATACTGCGAGCGTACGATGAGTGAACTGAATCGGATGACAGGATGATTTTCTACGAGACGGGAGAAGATGACGCCGACGAGCGCTTCGGTTTGTTTTGGTGTTTCGGATCTGTTCTTGTCAGATCGGACAGTTTTGGCAGAAAGATCTGTCGCGAAGTGATCATATCTGCGAGACCGCAGCGCTGCGAAAGTTGGCGTGCCGAGCCGCGACGAGTTCCGGGGCGCTCTGCATCCGCCACCGGCGTAACAGTAAATCATCGAATCAACGAGTCAATCCGATGCGGAGCTGTCGGCACCGGTTCGGGTGCGATTCTCGCTCACAGAATCGAGCGAAACCACGCAAACCGGCACTGTGAGCTCAGGAGACCAAAAATTCCGTCAGTCGTTCGGAAGTGTTGTCAGCTGCCTGGCGGGCAGGCGGAAAAAATGTTCAGTAACAGACGGATGTTTGACTTTGAAATCTTGCGACGAGCGTTCGTTCGTCCGTGAGGCATTCATCGGTAGCTCTGCGTTGTCGAGAAGAGTCAGTTTCTGTCGTGGGCACGATTTTGTCTTTGTATAGAATTCCCAAGGAAAACTCCGCTCAGAATTGAAGCTGTTGTCGCTGACTCAAAACTTCAGAGTGCTTCCGTTTGCGGATTCTCGCAGAACGGAAACGCTGCCTCTCGCGCTTGAGACCGCACCACCGTGTCCATATCAATTGGAGAGAGACGTAGAGCTAATGAAGATGGTCTGAAGTTTCCCGGAGTTCTGTGATTTTTCGCAAGATTCCTAATCGATCACTATTCATTCCAGAGCCACAAACAACAAAAAACTCAAGGAAACAGTCGCCTTAGAGCTGAGTTTCCTCAACTCGAATCTCCAGCTGCTCAAAGAACAACTCGCCGAACTCAACAGTTCCGTTCAAATGTACCAAAACGAAAAGTGAGTGCCGCGGCCACGCTGAATCGAAGCATAGACGAACCCCAGCGATAATATAAGGGTGCCCGAGAAAAACGAAATTCAGCCGAATGGGAACGCTACGGTCGCATCCCGTCGCCGTCCTGGAATTACCGGACGTATACTCGTAGTAACTCACTTCAACTTTTGCAGTCAATCGCAGATTGTTCCGATGATCCCTCTCGGCCTCAAGGAGACGAAGGACATCGAATTCGTCAACGCGTTCACCGAGTTCATCGCTGATCACTACGGCGAAGACCCTGAGCCCTACCAGAAGGCGATCCGAGAATTCCAAGCCGTTCGCCAAGCTGCGCGCACTCCAAGTCGAGATCAAGCCGGAGTTCAACTGTTGTTCGAATACTACAACTTGCTGTACTTCGTGGACCGCCGTTTCTTCCATCCGAAGTCTTCGGCGATCCATTTCGAATGGTTCGATTCACTAACCGGGGTACCCTCGACACAGAAGACGGTCGCCTTCGAGAAGGCCTCCGTACTCTTCAACATCTCCGCTCTATACACTCAGATCGGAGCCCGACAAGATCGGAGGAATCACGCAGGAATCGACGCGGCCGTCGATTCTTTCCTCAGAGCCGCGGGCATGTTCTGCTACATCAGGGACAACTTCAGCAAACCGCCATCGATGGACTTGAATCTCACGACGCTCGAATGTCTCTCGAATATCATGCTGGCCCAGGCGCGAGAATGTCTCTTCGAGAAATTGGTGCTGTGTGAGCCCAAAGGATTACTCCATTTCATCGAGATCGGCCAGGAAGCGGCTGAAGTGGCCGAGGTTTATTCGCATGTGCACAAACTCATCGCCGAGCCTCCCGTCAAAGACTACCTGCCATTCTCCTGGATCAGCCTACTGTCAGTCAAAGCAGAACACTACAGAGCCGTAGCCCATTACTACGTGGCTTGCGGACTTCTCGACCACAAGGGTGAACTCAACGATGTCCACAAACGAACTCTCGAATATCTGCACGTACAGGATCAGGACACGGTGTGCATCGACATCCGGGTGCCGCGTACGGCCGACGAGAGGATTCAACTCGGCAAGGCCCACTTGCACGAATCGCTGCTTCTGCACGAGGAAGCTCTGCGACTTCATCGCATGTGCCGCCAACTCCGCCACGTCGACAACCTCCAGTCGAAACTGAGGTCGGACCATGACGTGGCCATAGACAAGTACGCTCAAATAGAACAAGAGGACGATTTCAACCAGGTTCTGGACCCGCCCCAACTGCAACGTGAGTATCGCATTCGCTTCGAGCATTATCAATTCGAAATCGATATTGAATAGACCGAAACGGGTTTCCCCATAGAGCACCGATCTCTGTGACTCCCCATCGTCATTCCGTGGTTCCAATTCCGCTTCGATTTTCCAGCGTCAACGAAATACCAGCTCACCCTGACTCCGCCGGACTTTTCGGCCTACAAGATGAAAGATCCTTTCCGTGACTTGGGTCCAATCAGCGTTTTCAGCGCGCGTCAGCAGTGGACCTCGATGCGGAAAGCGCATATGAAACGAGAGAAGAACGAGACGTTCGGTTTCAGCGTCAAAGGGGATTCTCCGACCGTCGTAGCTGGAGTCGAACCCTGCTCGTTGGCCGAGGTGGGTCCGAATTCTTATCCAAACTATCCGATTCCTCGACAGGAACTCGACCGTCCCCACAGGGACCTTCTCCCCCTCCGGCATGTCCCGACCGCGTGTCGCTCCAGAAAACACTAAAGCTAAAACCCTTTTTTTTTGCAGTTGTCTGGCGTGAAAGAAGGCGATCTGATCGTTGGAATCGATGACCTCGACACGAAATGGTCGACGCATGAAGAAGTTGTAGAAATCGTCCGAAACGCTGGCGATGAAATCACTCTGAATATCGTCACGCCGATCGTGTGCGAACATCAGAGATCGTTACTGGAAGGTTCCTTGACGTCGCCCCGACGGAGCACTTCGCAGAGTCCGACAGCCTCGGTATCGTCGGGCGTTTCATCCACCGGTTCCTCGAGTAGATTGCAGTCTCCAAACGGCTCGATTATGAGCAGCAAGGGCCATCGAAAGTCCTCGTCGTGGAATATTTTCAAGAGAAAAGGCTCTACTCGAAGCTCTTCTCCTTCGAAAGACGACTCACTCATCATCATTCCGTCGTGATCGTCCCGGAAACTCAGCGAGAAAGCGGACGAGAAAGAGCTCTTGTAAATAGTCCAAGTGTCAAACGAGTTCAGATGGTAAGAGGGCCTGCAGAAGTCGGCCGCTTGTGCAATGTACATAAAACCGAAACGGAGAAACGGCAGCGTAGATATTTATATCAAAACCATGGGATTTACTATTATATGCGTCGACCCTATAACCTCAGTCTTCAGCTAGCTAGATCCCTCATCCCATGGTAGTTCGCAGACTGGAACCAATAAACCTGTGTAGAAACTGAAGAAAACTCGTCCTATTTCCTACTCCATATCACGTAGTGGCGTTGCAAGGCATCGGGTCATTACATAAAGAGAAAATCGGGGAGAACGCGATGGTTCCGAATAGGCCAGGGGGATGCTGCGGATCACGTACACGTGTATATTCCCCGTACGAAATTCATTCCTGGTATTAACAACTGCGCTCGGAAAAGGCCTCAGCAGGCCGGGACCACCACTTGGTCGAGATTGAGCTCACCCTCGCACATAGGGCAAATCATCCCGAGGTCGTGCAGGATCAACATCAATTCTTCAGTAAATGCGCGAAACCGACAGTGCGGGCATTGGGACTCGTCTCGTCCAGTCAGATGACGTCCGCTCGCGATACACATCGCGAGTGGGGATTTGCACTCTATGCAGCTCAGAAGATAATTCGATATAAGCTCGCCGCATTTTTCGCAAGGTGACCGATCGTCGATTTCCGGTTCTCTAATTGAAGCTCCCTTTACCAGAGCTTCCATCTTGTCTTTGTACTTGGGTTCTATCTGTTCGCGGTATTCCGACCTCAGAAGAATCGAGGCGTATTTATACGCGGCGCCTTTCAGACCCGCTCTTTGACATTCTATTACTGTGGATGTGAGGATTTTCACCCCATGCGAGGGAAACCGCTTGAGATTATCCGATATTCTCATGAGCAATTTCGCTGCCCGCAAGTGATCGGCTCGCTTCACGTGAACTTTCGCCAAGATGTAGCTGTGCAGCATTTGGAGCGAGTTCACCAATTCCAAGGGGGCTGCGATATCGTTTTCGTTCAATTGTTTGCTCATGCTCAGTAAGATGTCGTGCGCTAATTTATAGTTGCCAGTCTCCTGTTCCTCTTCAGCGATCACTACGGCCGTCTTCGCAGCATCGGTGTACCGACCGAGGTTTATGTAGAGTCTGCAGAGGTAGCGCAGGTCTTTGGGGATACCATCTGTTTCTCCTGTCAGGAAATTCATCAATTTCGTAGCGAGTTCCTTGTCCTGTGCGTAGCATACGGTATCGACGGCGATTTCGATCGCGTCGTTGTTGTCGTTCGCGGCGGCCTTCATCAAGTACTTGAACGCTTTGTGGTATTGGCCTGACTTGGAAAGATATTTTCCGGCGTTCAAATTGTCTCTCTCTTCCTCGAAGTACTGAGCTACGCGCTCGTAATCGTTCTCGGCAACACTGGCATAGATTTCCATTTGGCGGGTCTTCTGGGCCAGCGCGAACGCCTCTTCGGCACAGTTTGAAAATACGAGGAACTCGATCGCTGAGGACATGTCGTTCTGAGATTGGAAATATTCCGCGACAATTTTCGCTCCTTGGACTGATCGGGTGTCTCGAGCGAGTTTCGCCGCGCGCTCCAGATTATTCATGTGACGCAGCTCTACGCGGATGATGCTATCGAAATCTTTGGCTTTCTCGTAGGCTTCCAGAGCCTCTTTGTAGCTCCCCTCGCTCTCTTTGTACTTAGCGTATTGGAGGATGACGGTGTTCGACGTCACGTGAGGAAGTAGTTCGCCCACTTTGCCCCAGCTCTTAGCCTTCCCGTAGAGCGCAGCGGCTTTTTCGAAGTATTTTGATTTTTCGAAGAGCACCGCCGCTTCTAAAAATTGTTTGTTGGACTCAAGAATCGACGCACACTCCTTCAACAAGCCTCGATCACCGATTTTCAGCGCCATTTCCACGCCTTTCCGTGAATCACCGCATCGAACCGAGGTCCGCGCGATTCCCCATTTGCAGAACTCGTCGCCTCTCTCGAGACCCTTCTCGTAATGAGACAACGCATTCGGATAATCGCCGCTCAGCTCCAACTGCTGTGCGTACTCTCTGAACGGCATCTCCTCCGGCGCTAGATGCTTGGCGAGCTGCAATGCTTGCTCCCAATGAAGTAGATCCCTCCGCATCTGGAGAGCCGCTTTGGGATTCGAAGACTTGATGAAAAGGTCCTGAGCTCTGTCGAAGTCCCCTCGGAACAGCGACATGTAACCCTCGAGCTCGTAAATGTCTTCGACGTGCCGCACCGTCTCCAGACTCCACGCCATTCCGAGATCACCCGCCCTCTTGAAAGCCTTGCTCGCCATGCCGATATCGAGATCGTCCATGGCGGCGTTCGCGAGTAGTTTCCAATCGTCGGGGCTGTTCATGTTATCGCATATGTTGTAGGCGTCATCGAGTTTGCGCAGTTTGAGCGCGTTCTTCAGGTTGTTCCTCATGAGAGCTATTCCTGAGACTGTTCGATCTATCGGTTGGCTATTGAAATTCGTGCTCTTCCCGTTCTGCGTCTGACAGGTTATGATGCCGTTGAGCATCACAAGGGGTTTCAGCCCGCTCGGAATTTTAATCTTATCCGCCAGCAAGACCTCCTCGTGGGTGTGCGAGTAGAGGAAAAACTGTTTGCTGTCGTAAATTATGAATACGTGTAGCACGCTCTGATCCCATAGAACGCCGTCAATCGATGGCGGCGTTTCTTTGATCAGGATCAGGTGGTCGTCGGTCGGGGTATAGAGGAAAACCTGCTGCTCCTCATCGAGAATCACGATTTTCGTCCCTGACGGATGAGCGAACAGATCGAGAACTTTGCACGAGTGACGAAATTGGTTGACGCTGGCGAAATCCTGGAAGTAGAACATCTCTATATCGCCCTGGGTGGTTCCGTAGATCAGGAAGTTTTCCGTGACGTCAATGCACGTCACGTTGTTGAACATTTTCCCCTCATCGCTGTCGATCCCTATAATCTGAATTTTGTTGTCTTGCAGACCGACGGCGTAATCGGCTGTGAGCTTCAGACGCTTGAGCGAGGACAGGAACTCCTTAGTGACCCGAGTTCGTTCGTCTGTTATCGGATAGAGGGTCGTGCGGTTGTTAATTCCAACGGCAACATGGTAGGGACCCAGAGCCACGTACAGAGGCTCGACGTCGATGTGGATTGTGCGTTCAGCCGCGGGCTCCAGAACGTCGCCCAAGGTGACTTCCATCAGAGACGAGAGGATGGCGAATCGAGACTCGAAACTGTCCCCGAGAACAGGCAGTTTCGTGAGATAAACAGAAATATTACTCGTGGTCCCCACTGCGAGAAGCTGAGCATCGCTGGTCCACTGCAGCCATTCGACAGGGTCCTCCGTGGTGATAATTTGCTCGACTTCGTCGAGATCGTGCGAGCTGTATATTTTGACCTGATTGCCACTCGCCGTGGCCAATTTCGAATGTTCCCGACAGATTGTCAAGTTTACGAGACCCTCTCGATGGGAGCGCACCTGGTACAGCTCCGTACCGATTTCCTTCTGGATCGCGGATATCACAACCACGAAGCCCTCGGTGAAACCGAGGATGATGAGCGCGTCGGGCGTCCACTCGTAGTCCACGATGTTTCCGTATCTCTCTTGGAAGCCGAGGAGCGTCGGATTGTCCGTATCGTATATGTCGAGAAGGTAGAGGGTTTTCTTCGCACAAACACAAGACACGATGTTCTGCGACTGTGAGGTGTTGTTGCTACCGAACTTGAGTCGGAACGGCTCGTTCTTGAGAGAAGTTTGCGACAGGGTATCTCCTTCCTGGTTGCTCACTGTCAGGGTGTAGTCATCGCCTGATAGAGCCAGAATGTTTTCTTTGCTCCACGCTCCGCACGATATTCGCTTCGAGTGCTTTCCCAATATCGGGACCTTCCGAGAAGTTCTGTAGTGGAAAATGAGCAGGTTGCCTTTCGAAGTTCCGACAGCGAGGAACGCTCCGGTCTGACCCCAGGAGACGAATGTCAGGGTGTCTCTCATTCCGGTGTCGACCTGCGTCACTCGTTGACTATTCGAGTCCCACAAGTAGATCGACGGAGACCGATCCGTGATTATCGCGAGGGTGTCGCCGTCCTTGTGCCAATCCAGCCCGGAACACAAGCCGGCTAGGGCCATGTTGTCGAGATGAGCTCCTTGACGATCGTAGATGTGAACAATTTGATCCAATCCTGTGGTAACCAGGTAGTGCGCTTTGAACTTCTGCCAACTTGCCAGAACGGGTCCATTACCGCCATCGATTTCGAACACTGGTTTCGAGTTCACCATCTTGGCTCAGCTTCAGGTTCCGTCTCCTTGTGATTCCAGCCTGATGACAGCGGGTGCCTCGTATTCTAGAGCGCTCCGCAGCTGGCTAGTGCTCGCTGGACCACGGTCGGACAACGGGAATCCTCGTGGCCGCCCCTTGTTACCATGGCTACCGAGTAAAACTTGGTTTCAAAATCCGAATCCCGCACATGGAACCGAATACTTGCACGCGGGAAACTCGACAGTCGTCGAAAAATGAAGGGAAAGGCCCTCCGTTTGGCTCACTCAATCTGAGGAAGCGATCTTCCTCCATTGGGACAGTCCGAGAAAAGAGAGTTGAAAGGAGAGCGAGGCTGGAGATGATGATCTGCGCGAGTGTTCCGTATGCTTCGCTGCCGGGTACTTCGTAGAGTCGTCGTGGACGATGCCGATGAGTACGTAGACTCGTCTGTTGAGCCCCGAAAGAACCCTATGGCGTCAGTCCCGCATCGTGCTTGAATCATCCAACTGGCCAAACGATGGGTACTAGAAAGCGGGGCGCAAGTCAAATATCGGAGGAATCGGAGCCCTGAAGTCGCTCTTGAGCTGATTCATCTACACACTCCCGATGTGAAAGTGTACGGAGATGTACGGAGCGCTCCTCAGGAGCGTTTTCTCCTGGCAAGGTTTCAGAATACTTACTCAGGCGAATCGGTAATATCGAGAAATCGGTTGACTTTTCGATGAAAACGAAGCTTTGTGACCTCCTGCTTGTAGACCACTACTCAGACTAAAATTGAATGAACGGACATAAATCGTAATCATACACGCGGATCGGATCAGCACCAGAAACGGAGTTGGCATGCGGTCTCGAAGAGTTTCAGCAGATTCCGACGAGGATGAAGGCAGTGACGCCGATGATAGCGATAAGTGGGTGCGAGTTTGGTACCCGGTCGCCTCGAGATCAATATAATAATTCGTCTCGAGACCGAGGGTCCTCCCATGACACGTATGATGACATGAATGATTCATAATACATGATTCCCCCGCTCGCTCGAGCTCATTCGCTGTTGTCTATTGACTTCAGATTGGCTGACAATTCCAGCGTTTCTCTCCAACCGCCCTCCATGGTGCTCATGAACCCGGAGTTGAACGCGGGTGCCCCAAGCCCGCGAACGCCTCGATGGATGATTCTTGCGTTATTCGGCTCGTCTGTCTTCATGAGCATTCTTGTCGTGACCATCCTGGCAAGACTGTTTGCTCCCCCGCGCCATCCGACCGAATTCAAGTCCTTGACACGTTGGTTCCATAAGTCAATGAGTAGAGACGTATGCTGCTGACATGTTTCCTCCGACTTGGATTCGGAAGAATGCTCTCCGTTCGCGAATTCCAGCTTGCACGGTCAACAACGGGGAATGCCCTCCCACGTCTATCTGTGACAGAGATATGTGCATTTGCAAACCGGGTCTCGTTTTCTACGATGACGATTGTTTGCGTGAGTTTGGCCGTCCATCATCGACATCCCCTCTACTGAAGAATGGGAGACCGCGAAGAATTGGGCGGAGTTTTTTCGTTTTCAGACTTCGATCGTCAGTGCACCGAGTGCCCGGACTTCATGAGCTGTAATTTGACATCGCTCCAATGTCAATGCTGGCCCGATTACAGATGGGAGGGCCAGAGTTGTGTGCGGAAAGGTAACTAACTGACACAACCCGAGCCTTGAGTCTCTATTCCTGGTATGTGATCTTGGTTTTCACGTTTCACGATTATTCCTCGAAGAAAAACCGTGTAAATACTGTGTGGACAAAATGTGCTCTGGGAAGGAAGGTCGTTGCGCATGCGACGATAAGGACAGACTACCCAAAATGAGCGAGGCTTGCTACGGTGAGTTTTCGGGAAACATTGATGACGGAAGTCACATGCATGTGTGGCTTTCTATTATTTGGAGACGCATAAACATCATTCCATGCTCACTCCCCCAGAGAGTTAGGAGCATACGGGCACCGAGTCATATGAGCATATTCCCCCAGGCGACACTTTTTGTGCGGCTGAGACGGAGAGTTGGATCAAGGACACAGCAAGTCCGAAGAACTGTGAGAAATCTTTCCAGGGCGATTCCGTCATGGCCAGGCTCTTGAGTCGTCGCTCTGTGATGACCTCCACCGATGGAGGTGAAACCCAGAAAAGAGTGGGTTTGCTCTGGTCGGCCATAATAGTTGAAGGCTTACTGATTGAGCTGGAGAACAGTTCAGTGAGTTCGGTGTCTCAGGCTTGCCTTCAGGCGCTCCGGTACCAAATACTCCCTAGCTCCGCAGTGAAGCATTGCTGGAAGGCATGCTTGAAGCTGCTAACTCCCATGAAGTACTTCCACACCGCTTGGCCATTCCGACTCTTCAGCTCCGTGTCCCAGGTCTATCTGGATCATTCGTTCTTCACATCTCATTGCCTAGGACAGCCGGAAGCGAACCGTTGCTCCGATTTCAATGTGGGAACCTTGGACGAGCCGAAATTGTTCAAGGCCGTCCGGGATTTCTATTTGTTGAGCAGAATCATCACTCTGGTGGATTCATACCCTCCGCCAAAGATCACGATGATTCGTCTGATCGGATTGGTGGCGGAGAGACACAAGCGCAAGTTCCAGGCCGTGTTTCTCTACATCTTGAGAGAGTCGAAGTTCTTCAGAGACCTCATAAGCCTCATAAACGATGTAATTTGTGATTACAAACCACTCGAAGCTGGATTCTGTGGCTACGAACAGATGAGGAAGCGCGCTTTAGCGGTTTTCCCTTTAAAAAATTACCTTAACCTGAAGTCGGAAGTGGAAAAAGCCTTGGAAAACTTGGTCGAAATTGTTGATATCAAGTGGAAAAAGAGCAACGTCGTTCTGCCCTCTGTGCCGCTGTCATTGAGCTCGTTCTGGGAATCATTGAACGCTAGCTCCTTGACGTACGACGCGTTCCTCATCTCGAGTATCGACAACGCCAGAGATATATCTGCAGAGCTCACAAAAGGCCTGCCTCCTCGTGACTTCACTCGAATTTCGACATTCCACGCGATTCCGATGGCATTCCTCCACTTTTGCGAGGACGTTTGGACTGAGGAATGTGCTGCTTTCATCACTGCCAGCGTGGTAGCTCCGTTGGCTAAACGAAACATATACCAAGATGAAGAGATGTGCCAAGGAAACAAGGACCATATGACAATGCATTGCGAGTAAGTGAGCGTATTTAGATCATGTCATCATGCGTAATCGACACCAGGGGTCGGCAGCACTTTTCGTCTCCCTCGTCCCAGCTGCCGGATGTGACCGCTCGGCCTGGGTCGGCCCGAGCTAGCAGTGCAGTCCGAGTGGAAACGGAGCCCTATCGCTGGCCGACCTCAGGTGTCTGATCGCTTTACAAACGCTTGAATCGACCGGATTCGCGTTCGTATAAAGCCATCTCATGATCCGATCGATTCCCTTGAACCTGAGGATCTCTCTTTACAGGATGAGTGTATACCAGGTTCTTAGGAGCAGATCGATACTAATGCCACCGCCCCAATATTTCTCGTATCGTTTCGCAAGACTGTACGTCGGTAAATATCTCCAATCCAATGGTCCTTCTGAATTCAAGTACTTGTCAGAAACCTGTAAAGACGATAAGGTCGTGAAAATGAAGCGTTGTAATGCTCTTGGAGATCGATAGTACCTCTGGGGGATGCGTATGTGGGAAACCCTCGGAATGTTTTTTTTTGTAAATTACTGGTTTGAATAAAGTTCACTATCAATCTCGCTGCCTGAAGAAATTTCTACCGTACAAGTCGAGCGGAGCCGGCATGGAAGAATTTATCCTCGCTCCCCTAGTAGATCAAACAGGGCTTCTGGAATTCGGGGAAGTCAAGGACGCATTCCTTATGTGAGATCGATCCGGCAGAGCGAGAAACTCTATACACATACGTAGCGCTCTGTAGGAGCTCACGGCAGTCCGATGGCACGGAGTCGAGCTTCCGACGGGATTCGGAGACGTCGAACCCACTTCCACATCTGAGCCCAGAGAGAGACGGACGCTTCGAATTTACCGTAGAATTAATGAAAAGCCACCAATAAGATGGATCACCGGAACGGAGTCTCTTCCTCGGAGAGAGACACGAAAGACGCTAGCCACTTATCAGAACTGATGTGAATAGACGACGAATTGAAAATTGAGAAAATTCCGCGAGGCAGTGACATACACCATGCGGAGACCCAAAGCAGTGAAATTCGCTCCCGAGTCAAAATCCTTCAGCTCCAGCATGGTCTATGAAAGCGGAATGAGCGTCGATCGGAGGGATCGCACGGAGCCGAGCACGGAGGGTTCCAATGGCATAGCTTACTTTCGGAAAAAGAAGTCCATTTTGATAATAGCAGGCAAAAGGAACATGATTCGATTCCTCGCGAAGGTCAAAAACGCATTTTCTAAAGCCAAACGAGTAATACTTGATATCACGCGACCCGGAAGATACCTCACGAAGAAACACAAGAGCACAATGTTCTACGACACGAAGAGACGGTGGAGAGAAGAGAGTTCCACGGACATGACCGAGGCTTCGAGTTTGTAGCAGCGTGAATGAGCTTCTTCGTAGCTCAGAAACCCCATGGGAGTTCGAAAAATTCCCCCGAGCATCGAGCGCGGGGTCTTCCGCGGAACAATTCCGAGTTGATGCGGATGGGTACAAAAAAATAATCCAAGTCGCCCGTAGAGGGCAGGTGAAGAAATCTCGATGAATATATCGAATAAAATTTCCGAGCGAAAACCGTTCCCTTAAAACGATTGACGGCGCCATCGTTCGCCCCCTATCACTCTGCAGCGCATCTGCCCTCCGATGTATATCACCTTTCTTTGTATTACTACTGCTCACCGGACCCGGCGGCAAGACTTCAATCTCTCCGAGATTCGATGGTCTTTCTGAGGGGAAAGAAGATCTCAGAAAGTCGCCTGTGAATCAAAACAACTTCTGGCGATAGATGGCGCCTCGGAGCAACGGTCCCCACGAAGTCTTGGCAAGGGCTAACGGTGAGGAAACCGCTAGCGCTGCCGTTGCTTTCTGCGTGTGGGTCCGCGAAACATTGTGTGTGTGTGTGCCTGTGTCGATGATGTGGGTCAGCTTCTTACCATCTGCGCCATCTTGGAATTTGCCCCTCAAAATTCGCAGCAAATGCACTGCTACCTGATGTGAATATGAGCATGTGCTTCATCGAGGACGGCCACCGTCACAGTCCAAAGCCAAAATGAAACCACCCGATCCTCGGATACTTTTTAGTTGTGCTCTCGTCATCTTCCCCCTACTCGGCTGTGCGACTTCAGCTCAGCAGCTCCCATCGGAAGCAGCACCACAGCTACCGCCTCCGCCGTTGCTCAACGTGAATGTCCCTGCGAAGAGCTTCACTCGATTGAATGTTGAAGTATCTGAGAATCGGACAGGATCGCCTCCAGCTATCGCGACTTCGACAGTCATCGCCATCGCTCCAACCGATGCCGAATTCGAAAACGCAAACAACGCGACAGAAGCTCATGGTGCGGTGTTGCAGCCAGACGCTGAGAAAATCCCACCGACGGAGGACGTGGTAACTAAGACATCAGTACAAGGTTCGGTGACGGAACTAATTGCCGAAAACGAAGACGTCGGCCCCAACGACGAAGATCCACAACCAGTCACCAGGACTTCATTGAGTGTAAGCGAGGTGGAGCTCGGAGAGAACGGACAAGTAGTGAGTGCCGTAACGGAAGCGAACCTCCAGGATGCCGTGACGAAGACGTCACTTAAAATCTCCCAACAAGAAATCGTTCCCGCCTCGAACGAGGCGGAACGGAACTCTTCCCTGAGTAAGCCTAATGCTGAGAACATCCAAGAAATACTCAAACAGATCCAGAACGAGGTTGGGGAAGGACGAATCCTCTACGTTGCCGATCCCAAAGGAAAGACAGGTTGGTTCCCATCCATTCGTCCGTAGAGATCCATCTACCGGAAAATGCGTTAGCGATCGCCCCATCTCGTCAGAATCTCTGCGGGAACCCCCACCCGCAGAGATTCCAGGGTACATGAACGCAGGGATAACGGGAGATAACGCAAGGGATGTTAGGGTACATGAACGATTCGGCCGTACGAAAAATATAAGGTACATGTGCACAACCCTGCCTGGAATAAGGGGTATGGAAAGCTCTTCTCGCTCCCATTCCGCCGTCAGTGACCTTGGTACTTGATTCCGCTTCTGGCTGCCCCTGCAGCGCAATGTCTCGTATAGTGTGGTACGAAACACGCGGAATTTTTCGAGAACAATTCAATTTCGGAAAAGCTCATCTGGTAACTACCATCCTTACTTCACCCTGATACCAGAAGAGCGTCCCCTCCCTTGAACCGAATGTTCTTCTGAGTAATCACATTGAAGGTATGCGCTGTGTACGGGAGGAATTATCCTCATTTCGGTGGCTCCTATGCCTCACTTGCCGCGGAATAGTTGTAGATTCCCGATGTTTCCAATTAGGGCTCGTAAAGATGGAGGAAACTATATTAATTCAGTCGGAGAAGTCCTTGTTACACTCGTCGTCACACCACACACAATGGAGAGGTCGAGAGACGAAACTCGGGCATGAGGTCGCTGTTTAACTTGCGTTTTCTGACACAGGGCGACAAGGTTGTCCCCTCACGACTTTTCAAACACGCGACGCAGCGGTGAATGTTTCGGAACCGGTCATATCTCAAGCGAAAATTCCGAAGAAGGAACAATCTTAGGCGAGGAAGCTCCGCAGAATTAGCTGCATCAGCGGGATCCGGTTTGTCCGAGGAATACGGGTGCGAGTCAGAATCCAGGAGATCCGGGGACCGGAAAACACAAGGCTAGAGTTCTGCTCCGTAAAGTTTCGGTCAGTGGTGACTTTTCATAATTTTTCTCGGAGCGGCACTGGTCTAATTAAATGGCTGGATAATTTACGCATCGGGACCAGCTTAGCAAGAATCACTTGAATCACAATGAGCAAGACTGAGCTCTTGTACTTTCGAAATTCCTCGCCCTACAAGGATCTTTATCTGTGGGGGCTATTTTTTGAGGCAAGGTCGCTCGAGGTCAGTTCGACAACAATTAAACTTGATGACATCTCGTGTCCAGGATGCACTGAACGTCACTTTGGAACGCTGTTTTGGCCGCATCTGTGCGTGCCTTCTAAAAGGTCCAGAAGCTGCGCAGTCGAAAAAAAAGTTTGCAACACTTCATCGCGAACATGCCGGATCAGAACAGTGGTCGCTCTTAACGAACCTCCTCACTAACATTGCGGCACAGCACGATAAAAAGAGAAGCGGATTTCGATCGAGCGAGCGAGGCTTTCCAAGCAATTAACTTCTTCACAATGACCGCGACGAGTGCCGGAGCGCAAGGTCGGGCCAAGCGCGAGACTTAGGCTAAAATTTTGGTTCCGAGAGGGATCCGAATAGCGTCATTTCCGAGGATAGATGATTGATGTAGGATCGATATGATACTCCAGACAATATAATCAAGATTCGACACTTTCCGAGGGGATTCGATCGAACGAGCCTGCCCAGCTGCCTTAGGGTATTCGTGAACTAAAGCAGCCCTGTTCATATTCCAGGTGTCCGCATCGGTCATCAGACGGAAGCCCCGGCGCAAGATGTGGAATATCAAGATGAGGGAGATGTCGAATACGACGATTACGATACGCCAACTACGACCCCATTGTCGATCGTTCAGTTGAAAAAACTCTCTTTGCCGCGGAATAGGCCGACTATCGGACGACAAAGACCGGGAAGTCAGACGTCCAACGCAGACGATAATTCCGACCACAATGTCATAGGCATGAAGAAGCAGAAGTTCACGAGACCTGCCTTCGGGATTCTACAACGTCCGAAGAAGACAACCGTAGCCCCCGGTCCTCGCACGGTTAGACCATTCGTGAAAGTTTTCGACCGGGCCAAGACGAGACCAAAAACGAAGACTGTACAGCAACTGCGGATTCGTAAGCCGGTTCGACGAATTACGACTGCCAAACCCGTTCGGAAGGGTTTCCCTATAGGACCCCCGAAAAGTGCCATTCCTCCTGACGCATCCAAACCCTCCGGACCATCTCTTGCCGATTTCGAGGAAATTTACAGACGTCAGAAAGCTCAGAAAAGTCTGACTGAAACCTCCACCTACCGAACCGTCGACGAAGACGTGCCCGACGACTTCGGGGAACCCGACTCGCAGCTGCCGTTGGTCTATTACGAGGGACAGAGCAGAATATCCGAAGGCTGGGAATGGTCGCCTTACCTCGACGATCGCAACACGAAAGAATTCAAGTATCTCGCTTTCCACGTCAAAGACCAAATCAAGACGTTCTTGGACGAGACCCGGTACGGAGAGTTCCTCAACTACATTTTGATCGATGGTTTCACGAAGGAACTCAACGTTGATTTTTTCCTCGTGTTTTATAAAACCGAACCCATGATCAATGACACCGAGCTCACCGAAGAAATCCGCGAAGTCATGACGTACAAAACCGAAGAGAACGACTTCGAATTCACGCTCGATCCCAACGCGACAATCTTCCGGTTCAAATACGTGAAGACTCCAGCTACCGAACGGTTGGTGGAGGCTCCGCTATTACCTAACTGGGCCATCGCGATCTTGGTTTTTGGCTTAGGATCGCTGATTCTGGTCGCGGGCTCAGTGATCATGGCGAATAATTTCCGTTCGATCCGGAAGCTCAAAGATATCAAGAAACGGAAGCATCAAGAGAAACAACATCAGCTACAAATGAGTAACCTGCCGCATCGGTATCCCGAAGTCAAACAATCCAAGGATAGAAATTCCAAGAGCAAATCTTCCGCCTCAGGAAGCTCTTCGAAGGGCCGTGCCGGGTCTGCGGGTACTCTGGATAGGAGACCGCCGATGCTCGAACGCTATCAGAGAGACTACGGGGCGTATGAGCAGAAGAACCCCTTGCAGGAGGAACTCTACGCGGAATACGAGAACAGGTCGGCGGCATACGATCGATACGCGGATCGGGAGAGACCGAAACGCAAAGAAATTCGGCCACTGGAGGCACCCGAGGATCGATACTCAACAGTCGGTTCCCATTTCCCGAGCAGTTACAAATCTCTCCTGCAGCCATCGAAGTCAATCCTCTATCGCCCACCGAGATGATTTCTGAAGATTGACCGATCGGAGGACTCAGATGGATGACAGGCAGACTGAAACGGAAAATTTAGTCTCCCTGATTTGATATTGTGGCAATCCTCCCCTGGTCGGCTATGGGTCTAATTACCAGAATGCTGACGATACTGCGAGGGAGCCATTCATGACTCTCATGACACCACTTCCCAAGCATAATGAATCGAAAGAGTTATAAGATTCCGATCCCGGGGGAAGATGGGAGAAAAATGATGGTTCCCACGGACTCGCCTAGGGGTGATCCTTGAGACATCGGCCAGTGATCGAGGAGTGAAAAAATGAGGATTCGTATTTATTCATCCTGTGATAGTACCCGATCGCCCAGGACAGCCGCTTCACTAGAGCGGGTATTCATTCGGTCATTTGTTAAATGCTGCAAGCTGTAAATATGTTCTTTTTGAAGACCAAGGAATCTAGACTTGAATAAATCTGCCATACAGAAACAAGTGAATCGATGCGATCCGAGGAGTTATAGCGGAAGTGAGCGAGAATCATTCCAAGAGTCGGGGTGCTGCGATGGATGGATAGGTTACACCATCTTCTTCATAGAGTACAAAATGTTCAAACTTCCCGTCGTGAATTCACTTGGGGGAGGAAGTACGAGGAGGTGAGAAAAAAAAGCTCGCACAGCTGTTTTTTTGAGTTGTACGCTCCATAATCCCGAGAGATAGACGACTCCAGTGGATAGACTCCTTCTGCATGCGAACAGCATTTGAAGAGCTCGTTCTCACCTCGGCTCATTCCGGAGAGCTCCGGATACGTAGACATATCGATACTCGAAACTCGCTCCTGACGCCCTGATGTCACAGAGATTCTCTTCTCCGAAATCCTCTGGGACCAGGTGCAGGATTTTCGAGCGCGCCGCTCATCATTTCTAGGTGTGCCCTCCTGTCGATCTGGATGACTCGTCTCCCGCTATCCATTACCTCTCACGGAATCCCGTATCGATCCTAACCCGTATTGTCGTATGATCGCTACCAATGATTGAGTAAGTTCGATAGATGTCCTACGAAGCGTGAGTTGTCCATGAATACACAAGATTGAACAATACAATCAATCCGACGCCGATCACACGTTCGTTCTCACGAGGGAAGTTGGGGCAGGTACTATGAGCACCCTAATTGAAAGCATTGCCCGGATGATGCGTTTCGACGTAGTAGACGAGGGATCCAGTCTCCATCATGAAAATATCACCATGAATGAGCATCACGAGTCAGGGCTCTCTGTCCGTCCTTGCCTAGCGGTAGTGAGGCTCAGCAGGATAAAGTTGACATCAGGCAAGTCGACTTCGGCGCTGACTCCGGATCCAAAGTCGCTGTCTAGGCCTGAACTGAAGCAGGAGGTGCGGTAAATTGCCTCCAGCCCTAATCCCGAATCGGAAATCTGCCGCTTTTGGGGGCTCAATCGCCTCGGAAGCTCCAAATACACTTACTGAAAAAAATCTCAGCGAGTCTGAATTCCTCGAGGAGCCCCGAATGCGTGGGGGAAGATGAGCATTATATCCCTGATGAAGTGAGACATCTTGCAGAAGCCCTACGCTCCGAATCAGCCCCGACGCGGGCAGGGAGCTGCGAGATAAGGACCATTCACTACGGAGTTTTACTGCCAAGTAAGAACGATGTTGTAAGCTCTCCAGATCTAACCAGATCGTTGCCCCCATTGCGCATCGGCAGAACTTTCACTCTGCAGAGGGTCGCATGCCTTCATTGATCGAGGCGTCTTCTCCAGATAGTACAGAGAGAAAGTCCGTTTCTGAGTCAAGTTCTAACCGATTCGTATGGAGCTCTCAAGTCGAACGAATAAACTTGTGGGATTGATAGCACTCGGATGACCTCTGATTGCTTCGCTCGCGATGATCCTCCTACCATGAGCGTAAGAGCTATGCTGATTGCCAAGGGCTGCAGCTCGTCCGTTCTGCAGAAATACCCCCATCTGCGGCACAACGGATCAAATTACCGGTCGTGCCCTCAAAGAGAGGAAGCATGAACAGCCTGTCACTCATCGGGCATCCGGCTAGTAGTACTCGGCACTCGGCACCCTTACTTCACTGGAACACTTCCCCAACTGTAGCGGTGGAGACATCGGGGACTGCAGATTGAGAGTTTTTCTCCCAGAGCAGCTCTCCCAAGTCGTCCCTCGCCCATTCTCACGTGGCGCTAACGTCGTCGGAACGCTAAGCTACCGACAGAGCCTAGATCATCTCTGAATGTAAGAGTAGGCTATGTTCTGTCAGAACAGCATCGGATGCTCACGGAATAGGCTCTGATCTTTCTCCGACAAATGTGATCAGTGTTTTTCTTCCAACTCTTCAATTGATTGTGTGATGTGCGCTCAACGCCCTCAGAAACGGATTCCAAGTGAGTTCATCAGAGATTCGATACCTCTACATGCTTGGCGATCATGGCCTCGGGGAAAGTTTTGCGCGATGAATAGTCGCGGTAGAGCTGAGTTTTGAGACCTGGAGCTCGACCCATTGAGCGAGCCACGTCAGGAGTCAGGAGTCTGGTTCCGACTGCGAAGGATCGGGATTTCCACTTCGATTCTTCAATGGATGGATCCGGTTCGCTCCAGTCGGTCTCGTGCCATCACTGGAGCGTACATCTCGGCGAGGATAAACAAAAGGTTCCAGGTAGCACATGTCGGCTTACGGTAAACATTCGGATGACGTCGCCTACAATAATAAGCCAGATCTCAAAATCGAATAGTGGTTCAGCAGTAGATAAGCAGTTGTTAAGCAGTCCAAGCTCAACGATCCACCTGACGTTCGCTCCCATATCGGTCAGAAACTAGTCTGCGAGCGAGTCCGTTGAATGTTTTCGAAAATTACATAGGCGGAGAACCTCTACATGAGATTGTGCGTCAAACCGCCTGGAGGGCATGATAATTGGCATCCGCCACCGCACGCATTCGGTGAAGCTCGTGACGAGGCTCGGGAACGGAGCTTCCAGGAAGAAAAATGAGAAAGAATCACACAAGAAGACTCACAAAACACCCTACACTATCTCCGAAGGATTCGCGATCGAAGATGCTGTGGTCACCGAGTCAGCGCTAACTACGTTATCAGCATATTCTTTTTCGAAACTGTACGGTGATTCGAGCGACCCGACAGAACACTGTGGTCGCGTCGACCGCGAACTCGGTCGAGCTATATCTGCTTTCATATACTCGAATTCGCCGATCAAGCTAGGGAAAAGAGCTTTAGGTAGCTGTGAATCATTCGCGCTTCAAAGAAGCCTATCCTGGACAGAAAAAAACACGCAAGCACAAAGCTTTACTCGGAACTTTTACAGCTTGAGGTGGAAGCTTACGCTGATATCCAATAGCCTGGTTCACACGTTAAGCGATGAGAGGCGAGCGGTCATTGTTCAAATGAGCACTGAACGCCTGGAAGTCCCAGTTATCCAACCGTCAGGTACTAGGTAGTTCATGTTCTCAGGTGACCCACAAGACGACGGCGGTTTCTAAGGGAGCTTCTGGAGACCGCGACCCGCCTGTTCCAGTCGGGATCTCCTCACAACTAGTCGCCGTCATTTCTTGATGACATCCTGAGCTGAACAGCCGTTAGCACAAACTCACGGTGTCATTAATCATTTGACTGCATCCTCTCGTGTTATGAAATAAGACACCTACGAAAAATCGCTCCCGCCTTGAGAGACGGTGTACCCGAGAAAGTTCTCAGTGATCTTCGTGCCTGCGGGAGACATTCGGTTTGCGGGTCCTTCTCCAACGCGAACCCCGCCCAAACCTGGCGAGCTTTTCAGGTTTTCTCGAAGCGAAAAGTGCTTGGAAGCGACTGCCTTGACTATGTATAGCGAAACTCGCGAAGATGTTTTCGCACCCGACGACAGCTCGACGGGTGTAAATCGTTCATAGTAATGCAAGATCATGATCGGACCTTGAGACCGTTCGTGTAGCGGAACTGACGTTCCAGTTCGCTGGCCATAGACTATGAGGGCAGAGAAAAAACTATCCGTACCTACTGGTAAAATGCGCGGACCACCTTCACAGAGATGGAGAGCCTCGATTTGAGATCCGACACGCCCAGGATGCTATGATTGTGAACATTCCGGAACAGAAGAGTTTTCTGAAATGCTCAGCTGATAGAGGCGGTCCCGATCCCGTCCTGCTGCCGGAACTCAGAGCTGTCCTGAATCAGTCACCGCGAACTCAGGTTGTACAGCAAGTGGAGGCTGACCTCTCGATTGGTCCGTCACGGCCTGCCAGATGTTAGTTCCGACTAAAGTCTCTCCTTAATACGCTAATATTGTATCGCTTACCATGAATGGCCATCTTCGGCAGGCATGATGCCCTTCAGATTTCGTGGTAGCAGCGAAAACGTCGAATGTTTATCTCTGCTCGCCACAAGTCCATTCATTGTTGATAACAAATCTTGAATGAGTACGGTAAAGGAACTTCGCCCGAGATGTGTGAGTCCGAATTCGGAAATTAGCTCGCGGCTGCTGTGGGGCCGAATTAGACGTGTAAGTTTGTTCCGATCTACGTAGAGTTGTCGACGTCATCGGCGGAGAGAATCTTGAAGGAGGAGAGAGACGGTGTCAAACCGAAAGTCTGATTGACAAATCTAGGGAGATCGGAGTCGAGAATTCGGGAGCGGATCCGATCCTGTATGTGGCACAGTTTCCTTCTGTTGGGAGTTGCATCTGCTGTTTGAGGTTTCACTGGGAACAGGCGCTGGTGAAACCATCTGCTCCATCCACAGGTAATAAGAATAATGCGGGGTTCGTACAAATAGAGCGACGACTGCGAAGTCCGATGATAGTCGCAGTGTCCGGGTCCCTTGTATTATGCAGTGTGAAAATATTATAGGTCATTTGAATAATGATTTTTCTCGTGCTGATCGCGCCGGAGACATGGTGCGGCCCCCCATACATGAACATATTCAGCGCCAAAGGATTGCCGCTAAGTCATTCATTAATTTATGATCGACTGACGTGTGCTTCTATCTTTTCGATTTTTACTGTCTGTCCCGTCGCTCCATGGCCCACGTGCCTCTGAATGGGGATATCCTTCCCCGAATAACTGCTGTATCTGCAATTGGCGAAGGTTTTCTCCGTAGAGACCGTTCGAAACCTCCTAGTTTCCAGCCTCTCTATATCTGTCGATTCATTCTGTATATCGGGCATTTGGAGGATGAAGCTCTTCGCGAACACTCTCATAGCTCTTCTCCCCTGGAGCATACTTCAGTCAAGCCATTTGTAGACTTGTCTCCGCCTCGAAAATCGAGATCTTGATTCCCATCGCACAGTGTTCCGAAATCAGGGTTTTGCTGGCGTCAGCTCTCACAACACAAAGAGATCCGTTCTCCTCCGGAATTCTCTACCTGTGAATCGCCGTAGGTGTAGAAACAGGTCATGTGGGGATCAGCAAAATTTTCTTCTGTTGCCCGAAGCTAGGCGTGAAATCCGATTTCTGTCGGAGTCGATGGGCGGCGCGCGTCCCTTTGTTTCGCTGGTGGCTGTCTCGCAGAGCTGTTCGGATTCCTTTTATTGATTTCCCACGGGTGCTTTCCGACTGTGGTTTCCAAGAAGCAAGTTACGAGCTTGAGCGATATGCTTTCATAATTTTCCCTGTGTGCGGGAACATTTTCCGGAGAATTCCGCAAAAAGAGAAAGGAAACGAGGGGACAGTATCAGCTTAGCGAGGCTTTTAGCCCTGAGAATGTTTTGATAGAAACGACCACAGGGAACGAGAAAGCACTCCGTTCTCGGTATCGGTTCTCAGTGGCACGAGATTTTCAGCTACAAAAATCGAAAGCACTCCGGCATAGGAGATCGACGCGTAAAAGTCGAGCGGAACGGAACAGTGCCAGAAAATACTCGAGCGAAAAGACTCTCCTTGATATTTCCGAGTCGAATTCAAATGGATACAACACTCACGGGATTCACGCGCTCATCGAAATCCACCGGACGCATAGGAGAGATCTTCTACCTACAAGCGAATATACGATATCCAAAGAAGTCAGATTGACGGGAGGTGACTCCGGCATCGATCGGGATTCCGGTTGAGCCAAGGTCGCAACGGTCAATTGACTTGCGTCCATGCAGTTCTTCAATCACAAACGACTGCATCGGATAATTTCGATCCGATGCGAATCGGTACCGACCACAGCGGGATGAGACAGAGGTCTCCGTTTTGTGTAGATCGTTCCGGAGCCGATCATGTCAGCAGCATGAAATCGAAATTCAAGCTCAGGATCTCAATCAATTTTTCGCTGCCTCGTTTCGGGTGCGCTCGTTGGCTCGCCGTTTTCCCCGTTCGGCTCTCCGCTGATGATGACGACGCTATACCGGATCGACAGGAAAGCAGGCAGGCGGGCGGGCGGTCAAGTATCCGGGGGCTGAACGAGCGGAGCTCTGTGATGTCAGAGGTCGGATGAGTCCATAGATTCTGTCGGTTACGCCGATCCATCAATCAAGCAAATCAAATACGTTGTCTTATAGCGTTTTTCCTGCTCGTCGGCTCCGCTGGATAATCTGAGTGTGCTGCCCACACGGCTTTTGTCTTTCTCCGAAACGAGGACGCTGTGAAATTCTGTCGATTCCGGCGATTCTGACATCTTATTTATGTGCTGTCTTCGTAGATTCTGATCACGTCGTCAGGAGTTCCTCGCAATGTCGCACGACGCATCCTTCATTGTGTTTTCCCCATTCAAGTACTTTCGGATCCCAATTCCACTCTCTTGGATTTTTCTCCCTCGGAATAATCAGTCATCAATCAACCGACTGCGATTCACGGTGGATAGCCTCTCAGGCGCGCCGAAAACGGCTGATGTAGCGAAATGAGCTCCGACGCGGGAATGGTGAGTGGTGAGAGGTCTCGCTCGTCTAGATGAGTTTCCTCCATGGAGCTCCCTGACATGACCTCGTTGGCATTACTGCTTGGCTTTCATCCCTGGTGACAAGCTCCACCTCGGCACGACTCCGTCCAACTGATGGAGCTCGTAATACCACAATGGAGCTCGGTTTAGTTGATCATCTCAGTAACTCTTCGAAAAAAGGCATCTGCCTCCATGCCGGTGAATTTTTCATGGTGCAAACCTCGTATCACACAATCTCTGATCTCTCAACATCTGAAAAATTGCCCCGAATGCTGCGCCGATCGATCTCGACTTTTTCCTGTGATCGTCGATTGCATTGTTAGGATGTCTTGGATTAGCAGTCGGCAAATAACGCATTCCATCCTGGGAGGTACCGCGGCAAGCGATCGAGCGTCCTGCATCGCTCGGCGAGAACCCATTTGCCGAGGCCAAACCCCTGACCAGTACTCCTCTACGCAATTCTAGCTCCGGAGGTCGTTTCCGCGATCTCTATTTGGGTTACGGCCTTGAAGGCCGAAAGGGGTCGGAGCAGACTCCTTGACGCCAACGGACGACGGCAATACCTACCACGGATTGAGCGATTGAGCTGGCTGGGCCAGACGCAGACTCTGAGCTGCGGCGAGACACTCTTCCGATGGGATATCTTCTTCCATGGTGTGCTCGACTCCAGCCCCAGACGCGGCGTGTGCACTTTTTTTCCGACCTCATAAGACCTCACCCGATGGACCGGAACCCGATGGAAAAAATTCTTCGACATCCTCATCCATCATACCTGGACTACAGGAACGGGAATGAAGTCCACGTAACTTTATGATTGATTCCTTAAGCGCGTCGAATCGCTACACCAGAAGATTCTGGGGAGGGGGACAAGGTTTACTTCGCAAGCAGATGACGAGATTTCGAGGGTTCAAAGTTGAAAATCTAACCTCAATCCTTGGCATCGGTCCGATTGTGTAGGCTTCAGCGTCAAGCTGTATATTAACGGAACTTTGTCAAACGGTCGATTGACGCACCTGCAGCTTGAGCCAGCTTTGTTTATTTTCCTACCAGGAGAAGACTGTGCCGGCTGATCCCTTCGCGGCTCAATTCATCTCCGAAGAAACGCCGCGACTTAGGATTGTGTTACCTGCTCGCATGTTGGCCCAAGTTCTAGCGAGCGACGCGTCTTCCCCGTTCGAGTTCATCGTCTGGCACCTTCTAAAAATATCTTTTCGAGTTTCCCCCGCGTTCCGGATTCTATTCGTCGTCGACAATGACGACGACGAATATGCCGCGCGGCCTTCGAACCTAGGGACAATGAATCAAATGGTTCCTCGAGCTTTTCGTGGGAGCGACGGTACCGGCGCACGGACGGGAGCTTTACGGAGCGAATCTGTTTCTTCGTGTATCGGACGATGTCCACTAATGTGAGTGACTTGAAGCGCCAGAAAATGACAGCGAAGAGAGATGTCATCATGGCTAAAGAAAATTCGACCCGCAGCCCAGATGACAGACAACATCTGAGGTCCGATTCAGTCGTTTCTCCGCCCGTTCCTTCATGTGAAGGGCCACCCAAGAACAACAAAGTCATCCCGCCCGAGGAACAAGATAGCCTCTGGTCAAATTGCATTGACCATCGTCGTCCCGGGTCGTTTCCTCGAACAATGTCACACGATCGAACTGGTTTATGTACACATGTACAGTGTTTTCATTCGGTTACTCTCGATGGCGTCATCGAGTATCGGATTTCGGCCCCGTCTCTCGAATTACTTTCCATCGGTCTCGGAGACATTCCGGACTTCATTCTTGTTTTTGTTTCCACAGCGACGCGCGAATGAATTCGCGGTCGTGTCGCGATCTAAGATATTGGACAAACCATAGTAGCCGATGTGTCTCACGACGAGCTTGTTGAAGATTCATCGTCGCCCCGGTCAGTGAAATCAGAGTGACCAGAAACAGCTCACAGCCATTATTCCTCCTAAGAACTACGAATATATTATTTTTTTGCGGTCGTGTCAGACAAATAGAATACTTGTCATTCCTCGTTGGACCGGTTCCAAGTGGAGGAAGGCCGAGACAGGCATACGTCAGCCTCGTTTGCATACTCAAAATTTTTTCTGCGAGCATACTCGATCAAGAAAGCCGACGATCACCCCGGAGAACGCGGTCGCAAGCGAGACAGCTCAATTGGAGGGAAATTTCTTACGATTAGCTCCCCGAAATTCGGTCTGCACGGGAGGGAATAATATCGTTCGCCACTCGGTTGTAGTGTTCATTCAGCCTTTCCGACGAGTGATTTTTCATTTTTTTTAAAGTCATATTCAGACTTCACTGAATAGTATGCCGGTGCTTCGTGAATACCATGAATGATGGAGCGCTGTGCCGCATTCACCGTGGGTCTCCCTAGGTCGATAATTCGGTGTACGGAAACTTCTCAGTCGGCAGTCAGATTAACCACCGCGCAAGCGATAACTGCCCATTAGCCCCGACGGGTGCAGATGATCTCAGTCCTGTTTGCACTCGGTCGCATTGTGTTGACGCATGTTGCTTTTCCCGACTTGACACTGAGGCCTCTCAGCCCACGCTCTTCTTACACCGTTCCACTGAAAGGCAGTCGAAGAATGAGTGGTATACATACAAACTCAAACGGCTGTTGCGGCCGACCAGCCGCTTGGCTGTCGCGCGCTTTTCCATAAACTCACATAGAACACACTCAACTACACATTGGTCTGATGCTGTCATACCGCCGCCGCCGCCACCGCCGTCGTCGCTGTCCGTAAAGGTCTACATAGGTCGCTCGTTTTCTTGCTCAGTGCTCTATCTCAGAGTAGCCTGCGCGATTCCTGAAAGCCATTCGGGCGCGCCAACTGAATGACGACCATCCGACCAACAGACCGACCGACAGACAGACACATCGACCGACGGACCGAATGAGCGGAGGGACGAACGAACGAAACGGAGATGAACGAAGAGACATGGGAAGGGGCCGTCTCCAAAATAAATTCATCACTCGAAACTTGTGCTTATCTGAGAACGGACCAAAATATTTGTGGAGAGCGGAACTCTGAGATTTCGCAGGGACAAGCGTGTTTCCGGGACGATCCAAGCCGGCCAGCCGGGAGCCGGAAGCTTCTCTCTCCCGGAATCGGAGGGATACACTCCGAGAGATGTAACGCGTCTCCCAGATCTCCTTATGCTGACGACCGTTTTTCCGCTTTCAGGTTTTATTGCTTCGCCGCAACGCCGCATCTCGATATGAGCGGAGCCAGAATCCTTCCCTCGTGCTGATCACGGTAAGCGAGCATCAGCTTTTGCTACGTGAACGACTGGTGAAGAAATTAGCGGCTAATGTCATCATGCTTCGGAGATGAAAGTACCATGAAGTGGCAAAAATCGAATCACGATATTAGCTTTTCGGTTATTTGGTCGGAGCTCCTTCTACGGCGGAGCACGCTCGCACGAGTCCGACGGCACCAAGCGAAGAACGTAGAAAACGAAAACGAGGAAAAAAACATCGGACCGAGAAATACCACCCGGCGTACCGGCTCTTCTCGAGTAAAAACGGATGACCGGGAATTTCGATGATGATTTCTCATGTGAGTAGGTGGTGAGCGTCGCAGAATGTGCTCCGATTATGTCTCGCGTACGTGATTGGAAAAGCGATGAAGAGAAGAATCACACTCTACTCATAGCTGCAGTAAATGAAATGACTCCGCGTCCCACAGTGGCTGTCGATGACAAAGCCGTCTCTATTTGAGAATTGAAAGCGGGCAGCATTCCGCCACTGTTTACATAGCCCGGAGCAAATGAGGGAAAACTAAAGATCGCATCGCTCAAAACTCGGAGAGGACCGCGAGGCTCAGTCAGCAAGCTTCGACAGTCCGTCTGTCAAGTTGCGCGAGTCAGCGTCAAGTCAGTACTCAGGCGACCAGTCAGTCAATCCGAAGAAACTGACACTTCGTGAGATCTGTTCGTTTGCGGTAAATACTGTTAGACGGCTCTGCGAGCCGAAGTGACCGAGGCATGACATTCATCGTTTAGAAGAAAAATACACTGCGCCTTCCTGAGAAGGATACATGTCGTCTTCGTGGTAGACAACATCGCAGTCATCGTTGTCGTTATTGTTGTAAATGTTTTCGGTGTCGTCTTTCCTTCTCATTCCTGCTGGCTTCGCCATCTTCAATCCGCCCAAAAGCGCGACGGGTTTCCTGAAGATTCTCCACGGAAATTCCGCCCCCAACCTATTGCGGAATTGATGCAAGCATTCAGGCGAAATGAGGCAGAGGAGCAACCGAGAAGAGCTCTCAACAAATCAGCGTCTCCTACACGCAACTTTCGTTGAATCACTTTCGCTCAGCCAGTTCCCGAACCGATACGAATGCCGTCGAAATTTTCACAATGCCCCAATCTCCGTTGTTTCTCGACGATCTATGGCCAGCTCGTGTTCAACTTCCCAATTCGAACGCAGCCGTTCAGCCCGCATTCCCTTTGCAGTGCAGAGGAACCTCCCACTGTCTATTACAACATGATTGAACGGAGCGGTCGGTCCGCTCCAAACCTCTCAACGTGGTGATTTTGATGGTGACGACTCGGAGAACTTATGTCTGGCCGGTGAAAGGCTCCCCGTAAAAGACCCATTAGTGGTCAGGTCGGAGACACGCTTCGATTTATGCGGCGCAGTGTCGCCTGTCCGTATACGATGATGCGTCATTTGGCTTCAAAGCGCATAAAATTCCCGGCTCGTGTTCGATAACTGTCAGTGTGACTTACGGTCGTGTTTCTCTCCGTTCCCGCGGACGTGGCGAGCAGCGAGAGTTATTACCGGCCATCGGAGGCGACAAGTCTATTTTGCCTGTGTGTACGTGTGTGGGAGAATTCCTGAAGTTGAGTCATGGTGAATGAACGCGTGAAGACATAAAGGGTAGCGTGCAAAAGATATGATATACATCATCGCTGATTGAGCTTCTTCCCCGCATGGAACTTGATCGCAGCGCTCCGAAGGGATTTGAGCCGTCCCGATACGGAATCGAAGCAGTCAAGCTGGGATTCTCTGAACCAGAAATTTTACGCATGTAAGGAGGTTCTTAATCAGTTTAGCTTTTCGATGCCACGAGGAATTCCCTATGATCCGCTCTGAAAATCGTTCCGATGCTGAAGTTCGTTTCCTAAAGTGTGACTTTTCATCGCCAAATTCGAAGAGAATTTTACGATTTGGCCAT